GGGACCATGTTGCACAAAAAAAAAAGTAAGTATCTTTAAACACTAGCATCACCCTCCTGCACCATCAGGTGCTCACATCATGAGAAGCAGCCTCAGGGAGACAGCGGACAGAGCAGAAACAGCCTCCCGTGTCACTATCACCTCCGGGCGTGTGCTCAGGCGCTGGAGGGCTGGGTGGATGGTCCATGCCATTTCATATTTCCATCTCCGTATCTCAGTCTCTGTTTCTCTCTCTCTCTCTTTTTCTACCTCTGATTCTCTTTCTCTTTCCTTTTTGGAGGTCTGAGGGGACATAGCTGAAAATGTTTAAGTCAAAAACAGCTCGTGACACATTATCACCGTATCCCACTGAGCACCCTAACAGCGAGATGAGGCAGCGAGGGATAATTGCCTTATTTTATTTAGTGAAAACAAACAAAAGCTCAGAGTAGGGTTGTGAGATTTAACAAAGAAAAATATGTGATGCCCAGTGAAACTTCGCTATCTGATAAAAAATGAATAATTTTGTAGAATAAGACTGTCCGGCGCAATATTTGGGGCAGACTTGTGCTAGAATATTTTTTGTTCATCTGAAATTCAAATTTATCCAGGAATCCTATATTTCATCTGAAAACCCTAGCTCAGAGGCATCACTTAGCCTCATGCCTTCTCGTGTCCGCACCCTGATGTGAGAACGTGAGATGGCTCATTTTTGGAATGTATTCATTCTCTTTGTTTACACCTGGATGACTTATTTGTCTACATCGCATTTATGTTTGAAATGACTTTCAATTTGTCCTATAAAGTTACTTGATAAAAAAGCAACATATACAAGTAGATGTTCTTATTCAGACAGTCCATCCATCAACACAGATTTGAACTGTACTCGTCCGTTTCTGACAAGGAATCGAGTGTCTCCTTGGCTTATACTTTTAAAGACAGAACACCCAGTGAATCTGACTTCAGGGAATGCTGTGAGACCTAGGGGAAAAGCTGTAAATATAATTAAGGCCTTTGCTGCTCAGATGGAATGGAAAATGTTTCAGCCAAAAAAAAAAAGGAAAAAAGGTCACATTCACATGTATATTGGGCTGGCACTCATTATGACATCATTAATAGCCAATTAGAAAGTTTTCTCAGTATCCAGCCTTCTGATTCCATTTCACGATAATTGGTATTGATAGCATTTTATTGCCGCTGTGTACCTTGCCAGCACCAAGACTGATGGATTCTGATCCAGACTACAAGGGACGTTTTAACAAGGCGGGCGCACCGTTATGTTATTTTTACTACGCCATGTTACCTGGCAGGCAGTTACAGTTCTGGACTCTAACATGGTTTTCCAAGAATAACAATCATCTAATGTTTCGTTTGGCTAAAGCAGGGCTTGTGATCGGCCACCTGTTAGAAGAAAATGAAGGTGTTCCTATGGATGGAAGATCTGAGTTGGATCACACAAGGTTTTAAGAAGGGAGAGCGTGTTCTGTTGGCTACCCTAGAAATGGTAAGAGGTGAGGAAATTAGATGGTAGACAAAGGTCTGAGTGGAAAGGTCTGATTATCTTTAAAAAAGTTAAATACATCCAAAGTGCTACCATCTGTGGGCAGGGGTGTAAGTCCCTGACATCTGTGACATTTAAACCAGAACAGCTCTGGCACCGTCTCTTGGACTGATGGTCAGATTCCCTGCAGAGGATCAGGGGAGCATCCCAAGAAGGTTGTGTGGCCAGAATCGCTGACTTTATGGCAGCTGTTTCATCATGAAGCAAATGCAGAGCAGCACGTGTGTGTGAGCCCGTGCTCTGAAGGAAGCACGCCCGAAATAAAGCTCAGGTCTGCTCCTTACTCTGTGACCTGGGACAGTCTTCCTTTCTAAGCCTCAATTTCTTCATCTGTAGAATAGGAATAAGAATGCTATCAGAGTTGTTTTGAAAGAATTAATGTAACAAAAAGAGTAAACTTCTTATCATATAATCAATTCTTATAAATGAAGGTTTTATTATTAATTATAAGCTATACAAGTAAGGGGAATAACATGTTTTGTTTGTTTGCCAACTTTTTTCTATTTTTTGTTTTCATTTTTTTTTAATTACTACAAGACACTGACTACAGTTCCCTGTGCTATACAGAAGAAACTTATTGTTTATCTATTTTCTATATAGTAGTTCGTATCTGCAAATCTTGAACTCCTAATTTATCCCTTCCCACTCCCTTTTCCCTCTGGTAACCATAAGTTTATTTTCTATGTCTTTGAGTCTGTTTCTGTTTTGTAAATAAGTCCATCTGTATCTCCTTCTTTTTTACATTCCACATATGAGCGATATCATTCGGTATTTGTCTTTCTCTGTCTGACTTACTTCACTTAGAGAGATGATCTCCATGATCTCCATCCATGTTGTTGCAAATGGCATTATTTTATTCCTTGTCATGGCTGAGTAGTATTCCATTATGTATATACATACCACAGCTTCTTTATCCAGTCATCTGTCAGTGGACATTTAGGCTGCTTCCATGTCTTGGCTGTTGTACACAGTGCTGCTGTGAACATTGCAGTGCAGGTGTCTGTTTGAATTAGTGTCAACTCTTTTACTCATCAGACACTGAGTGAGTGCTGGGGGACACTATTCCAGGTGTTCCAGGCTGACGCTTTCTCCCTGGCAATTTCCCACAACCTTTCAGCCCAGGATGCTCCTCCCTTACCAGGTAGAGGGGCACATTAGATTGCAAAGAATGTGATAGTATGAAATAACGTACTTGAGCCCCTAACGTATAGCTCACTTTATATTGTTTAACACATACAGCATCTGTGTGGGACAGCATCTTTGTAATAGAGGAGTAACTGGGGCACAGAGAGTTTTAGTGGCGTATCTGAGCTAGTGGACGGCAGAGCTGGGGCTTGTGCCGAAGTCCGCCTGACGGTGAAGGGCATTCCTTTAACTACGTGCACGACCAGAGAAAATGCCCAGGGGCCTCTAAATAGATGTTCACCATGTGACATGTGAAAAACATGAAAAGGCCAAACCTTTCATCATTTCTGTGGTCCCTAAAAATAATCTTATCTTGCATCAGTCTGATAACTGAAAGCTAATCTTTATATCCAAGTGTCCATGAATCAGTCCCCTAGTTCTCTACGGTGAGGATGCCGTCACTAACATTTACATAACTAGTCCCTCTCATTGATGTGACCAGAATCGAAGGGTTCATGAACTAAGTCACCCCTGCTAAAATAGCTTCTGCAAAGACCGCACGTGGTCATTCTAATGAGCTACTTTGCTGTGAACGTACTTTTGAAGTCAAATTAAAAATCAGTATTAAGAAATCCAATCCGGGGCCATCATACTACATTTTAATCTTACACCATTTTTCCGCCAAACATAGCAGAGCAATCTATCAGTGGGTAGCCATTCTTAAACATCCCAAGAGCAAATGGATTTGAACTTTTCTGAGTCACCAGAGGAGTAGCAATTTCTCTGATCTTCAAAATGTGACTCTAAATCAATTATAAAAGCCCAAAACCCGATCTTCCCACCTATTTCTGAAGACCTCAGAAAGGGGGTGCTCCTCTCCCACTTGTTAACACGGAAATATCTCAATGTCTCTCGTTTTGAAATATGAAAATATTTTGTCTTTTTTTCCCATAATCATAATCATATGCTTCGTAGCCAGATGGGGAAATGTAACCTGCCGTATGCAAATGTGAAAAGGAACACAGGAGATTCCAAGTGAAAAGAGGAATCTCTCCACTCAGGAGAAAACTGTGTTCAGGTCAATCATAGTCTGAATCTTTCGATCTGCGTTGGGGGCAGCATTTGTGAAGACGTTGGACATATTGCTAATGGCAAACTCAGAGGAATGCCTGGTCAACACACTACTTTAAATATTATTTAGAGAAATAAATAGCAAGGGAAAAATGAGAGCTCTACATGCTCACACTATTCCTACCGAGGCTTATTATTAACAGGGGAGCTAGCCTTCCCCAGTGCTCCGTGCCTGACACTCAGCCAATTACAAGAGAAAAAGGAAGGCCATTCAGTTGTCCCAGCAGGGATGTGGTCATCATGAAAGGACATCTGTGTCAATGGAGAAATTCTCACTTTATATCAGGATCCCAACAGGTCAGAATTTGACCCTCTTCTCTTCCTCCTTCACTCCCATCCTCTTCTGTGCATGGCTATCCAACCATGTCTTGCCCATAATTCTCCCAAGGGCCTCTCTCTTCATCCACTTCGACATCCATTTACCACCCTAATCAACATTTCATGACTTCATAACTTTTTCCCTTCCTTTTTGACTCTTCCAGCTTCTTCTCTGTTTTCACTGTTCTTAGGCCACACACCCCAATCTGCTCAAAATGCTCTAGCATCTTCAGCAAGCATGTACATCTTTTTTTTCTCTCTCTGGTATGTGCTGGAGAGGCCACAGGGCACCTGGATGGCCTTTTTTTAAAAACACCTTTATTAAGGTATGACTCCTGTACAGTGAACTACATATATTTGAGATGAACAATTTGATGAGCTTTGATCAATGTACACACCTATGAAACCACCACCACAATCAAGAGAGCTAACATTTCCATCACTCCCCAAGAGGTGCAAGTTTCGAATTCCCAATTTATCCCTTTCTACACCCTTTACCCTCTGGTAACCATAAATTTGTTCTCTATGTCTGTAAGTCTGTTTCTGTTCTGTAAATAAATTCATGAAAGAGAAAGAAAAATACCATATGATATCACTTATACTTGGAGCTTGGATGGCCTTTTAAAAACATTTGGCAGTTCTGAAGTGGGGGGATACCAGAGTGAGATTCAGCAATGAAGGCACCTGAACGTGACACGATCTCCATACAAGAGAGAGGGGCTCTTACTGAGCAGCAGCAGATCCACTTCAAGTCAACATCATACGAGACATCACTAGAAGTAGGGCCTTCTCCTTGACTTGGTACCACAAGCAAATCCATTCTCTTCTCTGTGCCTCAGGGTTTTCAGCCATGAAATAAAAATGATGGTCTGGGCATTTTAAAGCAGGAGAAATACAGGTGTAAAGAAGGCAAAGAAACAAAGAGGGGAGAGTTAATTTCTCTGCTAAAAGCAGGATGCACCAAGATGCCAACTACTACGTACAGAATAGATAAATAACAGGGTCCTACCGTAGAGCACAGGGAATCATAGCCAATGGCTTGTAGTAACACAAAATGAAAAAGAATATGGAAATGAATATGAATATGCTTATATGTATAACTGAATCACTGTGCTGTACACCAGACTCTAACACAACATTGTAAATCAACTCTACTTCAATTAAAAAAAATGGGGAGCACAGGGAAGTATGTTCAATATCTTGCAGTGGCTCATGGGGAAAAAGAATATGAAAATGAACATAAGCATATTCATGTATGACGGAAGCATTGTGCTCTACACCAGGAATTGACACAACATCATAAACTGATTATAACTCAATAAAAATAATAGGGGAAAAAAAGCAGAACATGCTATCATGGAGTCAAACACGCGGTGAAGCTCAGTAACTGTTTTTAGCTTTGGTTTGGGCCAACAATTGGAGTCACGTGTTTCCTTTTCTAGGTTAATTTTGTATTTTTCATTCAATTTCTCTTTTCTCATGGCCACTGATATGCAGCTGTCAATGCCGGGAACTTAAAACTCACCTCGTCTCAAATCTCAAATCAAGAGGACGATGATGGAGACACTGTCGGGCAGCGAAAGAAGTGTTTCGAGAGCTGGCTGACGTTCTGAAGTTGACTAAACAGGCAGAGCCAAGTGCACTTCCTTCTTCAGCCACACAGATGGAATGCACAGAGGGTGGCCGTGGTGACTGGCAGTGAGAGGGAGCCAAGGAGGGCCTGGGGAAAGAAAGAACGAAGAAGCAGATTGAAAGAAAGAGAGAAAATAACATAAAACACACGGCCATAAAAGTGTTATTAAAATGTCAAAGGAAACCATTCAGAAATAAAAACCAGAAACAGCCCTTCTCCGTCAGCAACACAGCCGGGAGCACCTCTCACCTCAGGGCTGAGCCGGTGGGCATCGCCGTGTGGAATTACTTGAGCGTCTTCGATAGTGTTTAACAGTGACCAATAGCTTCTGGGAAGGCTGAGAATGCTTCAGAATCTTCCAAAGAGGTAATATTTAGGACTATTTTCATCTACCCGGAGGTAAAGAAAACCAACAGAGACAGAGCTGAATTTTGGAGATTAGTAAATACACATTAAAATTAATATCGAGTGATAGCAGCATAGCTTCAAAGAACATGTCGTTTTGCATTGAGAAAAAAAGTTACCTTGATCAGTGTCTGGAAGGGCATGTTATCTAACAGCATATTATCGTTTGGTTGAGTTTCACCAGCAAACAGAGAAATTCCCCCGTTCCTCCCTGGGAGGTGTTACTGCAGAGAGAATAATTTGCAAGTTGGTCTTAATAAAGCTCATCAGTGTGCAGTTTCGAGTCCCAATCAGTGGTTCCTAGCAATGCCGTAACAGAGGAATGTCTTCTTGGGGCAGAATGCATACTATTAACTAACAGAAGGAGCCATCACACAGAGAAATTTTGCTCTTTTCTGTATTGGAGTGCAGTATACCAGTACTTGAATTTTGAGAGCGATTTGGAGAAGATAAGAGCTTTTTCAAATAAAAGTAAATTTACAGGATTAAAAAAAAATTTTTCTTCCTTATAAAAAAGACAAACAAGTGATTTGAGTTTATGCAGAGGCAGAATTTCAGACCTGCAGATTAATGCAAAGATAGTAATCAGCATTGTGTTTTTACTGATTTTTGTTTAGCCAAGTGGCCCTCCAACTCTCTTTGTTGTGGGCATCTTCCATTTTCTCTCAAAAATATTTCAACAAAAACCAAAATATATAAATATATACATTTGAAAATATACAAATACATATAGTTAAAGAGTGAAGTAATTTTGAAGAACGCTGTGCCTCCATGTATGATCAATGGACCAATGGACTTATAGTCAGAAATAGAAGCGTAGGCAGTTACATCGCATGTTGTCAATACGGACAGTGACGTTAAGTTATAATAACACCATTTTGAACGGACCTGCAGAAATCCTTGGTCTTGTGGCTGAGCCCTTAACTGGCTGTGCTTTGACAGTAGCTGATATCATGGTTTAAAGTATGAATTAATTATGTTGATTGATTTTTATAATCCCATGAAAAAAGCCTAGAATTTGGGATTAAAAGTTCCATGTCCAAGACCTAGAAACACCAGTAATAGAATATATGGTTCCGGACAAGCCCCTTAATAGTACTGAATCTCAGTTTTCTTGTCAATAACTGGGGATGCTTAATAGGTTAATGCAAAGATTAAAAGCGATAATAGATATTCAGCGTATGCATATAACATGAACACACAGAAAGTAACTCTTAATTTCTAACAATAAGCAATAAAATTTTAAGGAAAATGATCAAGAGTCTCTCCACCTCCTACTCTGCTGCAAAGATGTTTAGTATTGATGTCAAAATCTTTGTAAAGAGAAAAAAGGACTCTAAGGAAAATGTTGAGAATTTTTTTTTCTTGCTATAAAATTTTTTTCTTTATGAAGATAATTGGTTAATATGGTAAGAATATATCATTTTTCTTTATGTATATTTATCTTATACATATTTATATAAGAAAACTTTTTTTTTAAATGTAAACATCTTTCCCACAAAAGATTCATAAGATGTAAGTGAAGCAGCATAGTCAAATACACTAAGAATTGCTTTGAAAGACACCATGCCACTTCGCCATAGGATTTCTCAGAGTCCGAGAGCAGCCTGGTCATTCTGAAGACTTGAGGCTTCCTGATATATTAAGAGAAAATGAATGCCATAACAGGGTCACAAAAATCGTAGTCTGTTTTACCTTTTTATGTGCAGAGTAACAGTTTAAGAACCACAAAAACATACAGGGAATATGTGCATGTGTCTTCTCAGCACCCTCGATGACCAAGAGGTACAGAGTAAACGATTTTTCTGCCCTCTCCCAGCTGTTGCCCCATCCTGTAGTAACCTCGCATTCAGCACATTATTTTCATGAGATAGCAGGCCGATTTGAGTATGGGAAATGTGCTGGGAAGCGTCAGTGGATAACAGGGTTGGTCCAGATAGTCTTAACCAGAAAGAATATCTGAGTTTGGTAAAAAAAAAAAAAAAAATTCAGTATATGTGAGTAGCACCCTAGACATGCCTCTATTTTTATCAGCCTCTGCTACGATGACTAAATTCCTTTTGTTCCGCAGAGTGTGCGTTGAGTCACTTCCCTCATAAATATTTTAAAGCAAAGAATAGACTGAGGCAGCCTGTGCGCTTGCCTCCCATACACACACAGATGAAACGACTTCCACATGGCCTCTTAATTATGTTCCCCCAAACCAACATTGTTTGAAAAAGCGATTTTCTCTCCACGGAGTTGCTCCTTTGAATTGGCACACGAAGGGGGGAAAAAAGGACCCTTTCAACACTAATACTCACCTCCATTCTACCCAACCGCGATGCCAAGAAACGCTCCGAATCTCGCGGCGGACCTCCCACATTCTCAATAGGATGTTTTCCGTGCACAGTGATCCACAAATATTATCATTCCATGACAATGCAGTTTCATCAAGGTACGTCTCAATCGGCGGGATGCGAGGCCCACACAACAGACGGCGAGCTTGGCGCGCCCGGCGCTCGCCGCGTGCGTTACTTACTGGTTATATTACAGTGGTCACACTGAGTCCCGTATGGCGCCGTATTAACGAGCGGCACGCAGGCACCTTCTGTTGAAACATCTGTGACAGGGAAATTTCAGGCATTCTTCCAGACAATTTTTGTGCTCTGGACCAAAGTTTCATTAGGCCTGTAAAACCTGGCAAGCGGTGTTGTTGTGTATGATTTTTTAATAAACTGGGACATGCCTTTGTTAGAGGAGTGAGGAAAAGGGCTCTTCCGAGACTCCTTTCTATTATAAAAAGTTCCGAAAACATATGACAGCTCACAAAATAACATCTCCCAACTTTTTTTTTTTTTTGAAGCGCAGGGTTCCAGGCTTTCATAGACATATAGAGAAATTCACAGTTTGGGATGCAAAAGCAAAAATGCAGATTTTCACATCTTGGAGTACATGGTTCCAACGGTGGCTTTCCTCAAACACGTTTTGTTAAGAACGCTTACAACCAACAGAGCTGTTTTTTGTGTGTTTAATTTTTAATGCTAGCTGCCAAAAGAAACCTATGCAAGAGTTTCTACTTGATTTAAAAGACATCATGTCTCTGAATTAGGGGCAAAAAAGTGAAAGCTTTGGGCACACACCTATTTGCACTCATAAATGATGTGAACTTAACAACTAGCATCATTCATTTTTTTTTCCCTAGTTCAGATGTGGGTGTTTCCATTTCTTTCTTCACTGCCAGTAACCATCCTCCTACAGTAATGGAGACCAGAAAAACTCCCTTTTGCAATTCTTTAATTCCCAACGCTTTGCCACAAACACTAATGCAAAACAAACACGCTTGGCAGTAAATATGTGCATTATCATTATGTAAATAGGCATGTTGTTATCATTATACTTCCGTGCGGCTGTTCTTTGCAAAGGCTTTTTTCTTTCGAAATATATTATCCAATTTAAGTTATAATGTGTATTATACCAGTGGGGCTGTAGAAACACTCCAGATCAAGGGGAATTAGTAGACTGTATATAATAGAGCAAAATGTTTACCACCTACGCATATGGTGTGTGATGCGAAGGCTACCAAACAAACAGAACAATGCGGCTGCGTGTCGTGCAATTCCACCCAGCAGCGCGCAGCACCTTTGAGATTAGCATCCATCTCGTGGTTCAAATTGAGTACCCCATTATGACATTTTATACTGACAACATTATAAGCTGAGATGATACATTTTCAACTCAACGAGATGAATGATCTGGGGCTAGCAGCAAATAGGCTGAGTATCTGAACCTCATATGAACTAGGAACAACTCATGCCACAGCCTGTTTGAAAATGTTACAGTGTTTGCATAAATCCACTGCTTATGCATAAGCACCAGGGAACCAGGATCCCGAGGCAGGCGGTAATCTGTAAAGTTCTTGTGGCGCTTGATAAGCATGCAAGATGCATCTCGCATTCTCCTTGGTGAATTGCAAATGTTTATGGAAGAAATTGCATATAGCTGCACATTGTAGGAAAAGATTGAGGCAGATTCCTTCACTGGGACTCGGAATGGAGCATGGAGAGAAGGGGTCTAGGGAAGCCAGGGCCTGGTACATCACCTAATTTACTCAAGCCCCTGAGAACAAGCAAAACTCACCCAAAGAAGCAGATTTTGAGCCCCTCCTCATTATTGGTCTTCACATTCTGTAGTTGCTCACATTATTGGACCTCTCAACCATTTATTTCATTTTCCCTGTGAAGACACAGCCAGAATTAAAGGAAGAATGCTAGTGTTCCTTTGCTTCCATGATTTTCTCTATTCTGGAGCAAGTAAGCTGCTAACTCTGAAACAACAAGACAATTATAATATTTATTCTTTGTTTGCTTAAAATGATGCTGTCAGTGTTTTTTTAAAACCTCCTAAAGGGGGATGTCATTTGACACAGAGTTAAACAGATAAACTCTCAAACAGCTTGAAGATTTGATTTCTGTAGATTTAAAGCTCATTATCATTAGAATCTGATTTACAGGGCTTCAGAATAAATAAATTAGGTGACGTTTTTCATTTGCTCACCTCACCCTGTGCTAAGCACTTGTTCCGTGTAAAGCCTTTTTTCCTTTTTAAATACATTATCCAGTCTTAGTTATCATGCACAATATACCACGGGGGCGAGGACAGGACTCTGATGGCTTTGAAGAGTTTCAAATAGTCACCACATACCTTAGACTTTCTGCTTTGGTCCAAGAAAAGACCACTGCTATTCTGTCTTCAGATTAATGGTGGGTAGGGTTTGAGAAGTGGGGCCTCGGAGAAAATACAGCCGTGGCACTGACACCCTGTGCCAGACCCAGTGCTTGCTGTGTTCATGGGGAGAGGCTCTTCCTCGCCTCAGGCCTCCGTGCTGGTGCCCTGGCCTGCCTCCACCCCAGACCCTCTCGCCCTTCATCTGGCTCATTCCCGGGTGTGTCAGTCAGCCAGGGCTGCCGTAGCACCATACCACATGCTGGGAACCTTAAACAACAGAAGTCTATTTTCTCATGTTTCTAGAGGCTGGAAGTCCAGCATCAAAGCACTGTCAGCATTGGCTTCTCATGAGGCCTCTCTTCCTGGCTTGCAGACGGCCACCTCCCTGCTGGCCTTTCCTCTGTGCACTTGTGGAGAAAGGGATCTGTCTGGTGCCTCTTCCTCTTCTTATAAGATCACCAGTCCTATCAGATCCACCTTATGGCCTCTTCTAACCCCTGACCTCTCTGAAGACCTGATGTCCAAAGTACAATTGCATTGGCTTCAACATATGAATTTGGGGGACACAATGCAGCCCACAGCACTAGTCATCAGTCAGGCCACAGCTAAGAGTTGCCTTCCTCCTGGACCTCTTCCCAACTGTAAACTCAGGGTCAAGTGGCAGTCTCAAGTTAAGCCAGAGGTCCAGTACCATTTTGCATGTGCTGATAGCAAACCCGATATTCTGTCTACCCTATGACACTGGGATACAGTTTAGGAGCAGTGATCTGTGACTGTAAGTGACATGGAAAAGATGCCCCATGAGTCAGATTCGTGTGGACCAAGGTCCCAGGCTGGGCTGTGATGAACTGATGAGAGAACCCCTCTTTGGAAGTGGCCCCACTTTTTGCATTTGTGAAAGTAAAAACTGAGCACTGAAGACTTAAAATGAGGGAACTATGATGCACAAAAAGTGGGATTTCAAAGGTTGACAAAACTGTTAGCTTGATATCTGATGCTTATTGTCTTGATTGGGTTGATGGAGGAAGACTCAGAAGTCTCCAGGGTCGACGCATCTCAGACTGGGGGCAGACCGAGGGCATCGTTGGTCACACCTACACCCCGCATGGTCAGGCACAGGCTGCTTCGCCTCCTGCTTGGATTCTCAGCCTTGACTGCGTGATGACGCGCCCATTGCTGTCAGTTTCATGGCAGGAATCCTCCCTGGCTTGTGACTAATCTCTTGGGGAAGGTGGTGATCAGCGCACTCCCCGGCTTCTCCGCAGGGCCACTCGGAGACGCCCCTGCTGCCTCTTCCTGATTTCTTGAGACCTATCGTGATGGAGATTGCGTCAGTGTCCAACAAGCCTCGGCAGCCCGACGGAGCTTTGTGTGGATCAATGAAAGCACACGGGGAGCTGAGACGACCTCTGTACAGTGAAAGACATAGAGCAGTGGTTTTCTCCTCTAGGGGATACTTGGCAACATCTGGAGAATTCTGCAGTTGATACTCATTTTGGGGAGGGGACAGGGAGAGTGACACTGATATCTAGCGGGCAGAGGTCAGGGATGCAGCCTAATGTCCTACAGTGCACAGGACAGCTGCTCACAGCAAAGGATCATCCGGCCCCAAAAGCCACCAGCGCCAAGCTTAGCAGCCCTGGTGGTGAGGTTCATAAGGGGTTTGGATTAAATAGTTATGTGAATAGTTTTCTTAATGGATGTAACATACACTCACCTGTAAAATGAGGATTAAAAATATGCATTTCTTTGTTCTAAGGATTAGCTGAGATAATATATTCAAATATTTATTTTTATTTAGCATAAACCAGGTGCTGGACTCTGCGGTGCTCGGTG